CGGCGATCAGAAATCTAAGGCTTAATGGCGGCAAGTATTAAAAACACACCGATCATCAACCGTTTTCAAAATACTAATACAACAATTTCAGAGCTATGATTTCACTAAAAACCACATAACCGGAACGAACACATATCAAAAATCAAATATGTTTAGTCCGTATGTCTGATACTCTTTTTGTTAGCAACGGCCATTGATGGCGGGTGTAAAGCCATAAAATAATCAAAGTTGGCAACGGTGTGGGTTAACTATAAACCTTCGCATTCTGAGACATTTTACTAGTTTTCGACACAACAAATATGATTAAATCAAGACAGAAGTAAAGCAAAGATCATTAACGTTGAACTCCGGAAAATGTTACGGTGCAGGATTCCCAAGAATGTATAATTTGTCTAGTGCAATCAGATTATACGATGATTGAAGCGGCATTTTTTTCCAAAATCACGAAATTCTCGCGCGTTCTCGAGGTTTCTCGCGACATCAAAGTGCACCAGACATATTTCCTATGCCGAAGAGGCAGTTGCCTTTCCCTCTAATCTAATTCCGTGGACACACTAACAAATAAAACTTTAACCCACAAGTCAGTTTGTGAAGAAGGTCATTTTGTTGTTACCTCGTACGGGTTGAGCTGATATATTCCACAAGCAGGAGTTAAAATCTCAATATGCTCAGTGTTTTTCCTGGCTTTCCTCGGATTTGTTTTCTTTATTGTGAATTGGGACAAAATAGATATGTTTTAAATCGTTTTTGGTCTGTAAAATTTGTAAAACCACAGAAATGTGTTGTAACAAGCCCGGTTATAAATTATCATACATGTCGATTTTGTTTAATATATTAACTGTGTATACAAACTGAAATTTCCATATTGATAACGCAAATGGAAAACAAATAAACACACCTTTTTCGATAGATACAAAAATATCATGTAATATTATTTGCATTTGTGTGATAAGGTATAAGTATAAGATAAATTAAAATTATACATAACACAGTCGATGACACAAAATTAATCAAACTTGGTTTTTATGACATTTCATAAAATCAATTAAGAATATGCTATCCCCTGGATATGGCATTGCAAGATAGAAATCATTTGACATAATCATTATTCAGTCTAAAATTTGGTGTATAATGTACTACGCCATGGTAACGTCATTGTTATGTCATACATAATAGCAGGATCGGAGCAAAAATATCCTAAAACATTTGTGATGCCTTGGGACATAATTATAATTGTTCACTACTCAAAAATACTTATGTTGAACCTTTAAATTCGTTATCGGGAGTAGACTTTTATCATCAATATAAACACAGCCATGCTATATACATTGAAAATTCCATTTAGTTAAGGTTATATTGAAAACTGCATAAAACAAATCACGCTGCAGAGTTCTTAATTTATTATAAAATGTTTTAAAACTTATGACTTAGTTTTCAACAACAAATTTACTTTTTGTTAGATCAGAACTAATCACACATTTACTCTTAGTAGAAATAACTCGGATTATATCTTCCATTCTAAATTTTAAATGTTTTACTGATATTCCAAAAGAAAACAATATGTGACTGGATACATCGAAATAAAGGTTAGGTAAGTTAAAACGTCGGGTGGCGCAGTAGATAACTCAATCGCCTTTTAACAATGGCGGCTGGGGTTTGATCCCTGATTTAAAGTAAAAGGGTATGTGGTCACCTTCCCGACTAAGTAGGGTCGTTTTCCTCTCACATTACTTCCAGGCCAACATGAGTTATTGATATAGGATGTAGTAACTTGTTTCAAAAGGGTTGCAAAATAAATATTTTTTAAACTTAAACGCTGTGAGACTGAATGAAGTCCCTTAAACAAAACAAACTTCAAAGTTCGCTATATCTATATTATAATATAATTAATGTCCTCATTTTATATTGTAACAAATCAATAGTATTTTTCCTCTACATAATGATATGAATACTTTCTTCTTATTCTGTATCCAAGCAGAATATTCATAAAATTACTTTAACCCTTAGAAATCAACATAAAACTATGGTCACTTAATCATTATTATTGATAATATACAACATTTGTATAACGACCTATATAATTTGAAAAGGTACTCTTAAGTTGCTTTACAGCACACGAATATTCCTACAATAATAATAATAATAATATACAGCATTTATATAGCGCCCTATATAATTTGTAAAATTACTCTAAGGCGCTTTACAACATATGGATAATAAATAGTAATGGTTATAATTGTGAAAACAAACAACAAAGGCTTGCAATCACTTTCATACATTTAACGAGCAATGTGCACATAATTGAACAAATAAAAGGGTGGTATTTACATGACGTCTTTGCAAAGATTCTAAAATGCAGATGTGAAGAGGTGAGTTTGTATGTCCCTCTTGAACTTGGCCAGGGTATTCGACTTCCTCATAGCAGATGGAAAGTTATTCCACAACGTAGCCGAAACCCTCCCAAAGCATCTGTTGCCGTAGGTCACAGTACGAGAGTTTGGGACACACAACAAAGATTCTGACTCCGACCGCAGTGATCTTGACGGCTGATACAGGGTAACAAGTTCCTGTAGGTACTGAGGAGCTGTTCCATTCAGTGCCTTGTATGAGTATACCAGAATTTTGTACTGCGACCTGTATCGTACAGGTAACCAGTGCAACGAATAAAGCGCAGGTGCAATGTGCTCTCTCTTTCGAGTACGAGTAACTAGCCGTGCTGCAGTGACAATGACATTTATGGGAATCCCCTTATAATGGCAGTGACAATGACATTTATAAATATAGTAGATCCAAAGTTCATGCAAATCAGCAAATCATCAGCTTTACCACAGTATAAATTGAAATATGCCGTTTATCACAAAAATGACGTAATATAGATATGCAAGACCACACACTTCACTTCACACGAGTTTATTTAGCAGCCGAATATATGCGGAGCGCACGAGTGAATATATATACGTCCGCGCAATAAATGAGTGCTTTCTGATTCGTTAGAAAAACACAAGTGTGGGGTTTTCCTTTTATAACATTCCTTCCGTATTTGGTAGAGATCGATACAAAGATTTTATAAACTTTGATATTTTTTTGCAAATACCGGGAACTTTTCAGTTCGCCATTATAAGGGGATTCCCATAAAAATTAATCCCGGCAAGTATGGCGATACATCATACAGCGACAGAAAACATCAACAGAAATGTGTTGTATTACTATTGCAAGATTACATAGGTATGATATAAAATCATGTATATAAACCCTGTCATGTCATTTTTATTATGAGAAGTTCTTTTTACACAACCAATTAAATTTTCTATGTGAAGTAGAAAGAAATAGAAAGATCCGAAATGTTGTAATGGGTGCAGCAGATTTATTTTGTTCGCTTCTATGAAGTAGAGGGCACAAAAGCAAATCCCCAATTCAGCAGGGATTCTCACATTAGTCGCCTCTTACGATTATGCAGTGGGTAACAGCAGATGTATTCTTTTCCGAATCCCCGACCTGCAGTTTCTTTTTACATCAGGTTAAAAGACATTTATAAATATATAGATATATAGGGAGGTATGTACACGAGATCTTAAGATTGATGTAATGGTTAAGATTTAACGATTTGACTTATGTCGAAATCCTGTTGAAAACAGTTTTAGTATCCTTAAACCGTCAACATTAGTATGCTTAAACAGTTAAATATATGAACTGATACAAAGTCCAGCGCAATGTTATTTCATTTTATCTAACGGGCATTGACCTGTTGACTGAATGGTTGTTGATCCTCCGCCCTTGGGACTTCTAAAATATTTATCATCATATATAACTACTGAACCTCTGACATCACTTCATTTGCCATGTGTGGTCACCTAGGTTTCTCATCTTGTCAGGTACAGTAACTGTTCATCTATGTTTTTCTCCTTGTAAACATACCTGATTATAGAACTGGTGTTTTATTGATTTATATCATGATAGTCAAATCTAAATAATTCGACAGTATCTTCGAAGAAAAAAATTATCCATAAACGAGTGAATAGAAATACCAGACAGGTAAACTTATGTAAATGAATTGATCACCCCATCTATTGAACAATTGGCATCAATACGTATGGATATACGGCTGAATAAGGCTACTACAACTCTGTTTGCCGCATTGTAAGTTTATTGGATTAATTTTACAATTAACAAATTGTCGTAATCGCGATTCAAATCCATCGATAAATACGTGGTGAACAAATTGCCAAGCCTTCAAATGAATACTGATATCAATACTGTTACTTGTAAAACTCAGGAATATAAATTGATAAATAGTTCCATTTCACGGGTAAATACTAGATTTTTTTAGAGCTAGATAAATACTTGATAACAAACTGTTTCTTCAAAACATGTCTTCAATAGCTTTATGTCTTTTTTTGGTGTTCCTTATGTTACTCTGCTCTCCGATGTTCCACGATTTTTGTTTTGATTTGTATTTGCTTTTTATTTGTTTGTTCTTTAGTCTATTGTAAATCTTTGTTTTTTTATCTGTTGGCGCCCGTGTAAATACAAAGGTCGTGTTTTTCTATTCTTACACAGTCAACAAATATTTTCATTAAAAATGTCATAATTTGTTTCGTTATTTCGACAAATATTTAGGCATTTGTTTTCCTTATTTATGAAGTAATTATCAAGGATATTCGTTATATATGTGATAGACTTTGATTAAAATACGTTATTTAATAAACAGAGAGAAAAAAATGTATTTAATTTTCGATTCGAATTTATGATAATGATAATCGATAAATATCAATTTTTCGCTTTATCTCGATATGAAATTTATAATGATCGAATTTATTATATTCACTTAGATTACCCTTTCAACAGATCCTGAGTTACAATCCTTTTATTCATTGTAATTGTGTTTTGCAGTGTTGTGCGTTGTGAAAGGTGAAACGGCCATCATCCAAAAAAAGGACAAAAGAAACCAAACACTTTGCTGAAAGAAATCCGCCCGAAATCTTTATAACCCAATCACCATAATGCCGTCTCACACAGCCTCAGCATCAAACAGTGACGGGTCACTCCATGGATTCATAAATATAGAAGAGAAAACGTGCGTGCCAATGAAGACTGTTAGTTCACCAACACTTCCAAAAGGCCAATACAGTCACATCAATGGTGCTAACGCTTCCTTGACCAATACGGCTGAAAATGAAAAAGACGCTAGTAACTCTGATTCCTCGTTGACCACAGAGGTTGATATTGCCATAGTATTACCTATGACAAAAATGCAGATCGCGAAAAATCTTGTCATTATATGTACCTCGTTTTTTCTATTGTTCACAGCATTTCACTCAATGCTGAATCTACAGAGCTCCTTAAACAAAGAAGAAGGTGTGGGGACATTTGCCTTATTCCTAGCCTGCTTGTTCACTATGATTTCATCACTGTTTCTGGCACCAGTCTGCATAGACAGGCTCGGCCAAAAGCTGACCATTTGTTTCGCTATGGTGCCAATTACAGCATATATGGCTGCCACCTTATATCCTACATGGGCCATCATGGTAACGGCATCTTCCTTGTGTGGGCTTGTTATTGGGCCACTTTGGGCAGCCCAATCATCATATGTATCAGTACTTGCCGGATATTACGCCAAAATTACCAACACGAAACTAAAAGACTCCATTTGTTATTTCTTTGGGATATTTTACATGTGTCTAAATGCAAGTAAGTAATTTGGAGGGGTTTTATCCAAATTGGGGACTAATTTTTGTATCAGTTGAGGGTATGGTCCCTCTGTGTGTTGATGGGGAAAGGGGAATATGAGTTTTAAACCTCAAAATCCTGTTTCTTCTATAATATTGGAAGGGTTTATCAAAGTTGGCCTGAAACATCCTTGGGCAAATGGGACTCAATTTTTTTTATGAAAGGAGGGTGTGGCCCATTTAGGTGTGGAGAGGTGAGGTCCAAAAGAGGAATTTAAGGTTTAAATCTTTAAAATCCCTCTTCTTTTTTATCCTACGAGTTATTTAAAACCAAATTTGTTCTGGACCATCCTTTAACGGATGGTGTTGCCACTCTTCTCCTTCAGTGTGAGCATCGTTTTGCAGGGGGACTCAATTAGTTTGTACATAGTGTAATCCCCCTGGGAACAAAGAGGAAGGGTCCCATAGGGGGGACATAGTAATAAATGTTTGAAATAATTTTCCTTTAGTTTTTTGGAGGGATTTTAACCAAATTTTGTGTAGAGCATTCCTGGGCAAAGGGGGCTACTTTTGGTATAAATAGATGGTTGCTTTTAGGGGGTAGAAGGGCGGGACCAAGAGTCAAGCAATTTCTAATAACTATTTCCTCGATGGCTGTTATTCGTTCAAAGCAAAATTTTAATAAAGGATGTGCATTAATAAGCACAGAAAGGTATTTTGATAATCGTGACATTGATATCTCTACTATTTAGTATCTCGCGTCATTTATTAAGAATCAGAAACAAAATCTAAATCGCTATCCTCTAGAGATTTTATTATATTTGAATTGCATCATTTAGACCAAAGTGAAAGCCATTTGATCTACGTTTTGACTATAAATACGAATCTATTTAATGAATATGGGGTCCATGGGTCTATTTGGGATTCATCATTGGAATATATAAAGTATTATAATACTCTATAAACAGTGGGTAATGATAAATGGAACCCAATCGTTACTTTTTATGAACAATACAATTTGGTTTATACATTGGTGCCATTATGCTTAATCATTAACTTGAAAAAGAGAGCTGTAAGTTTTTTTTATTAAAATTAATTCCATACCATTTATGTTCATTTTCTATGACATAAAATTAATTTAAACGTATTATGTGTATACACGACACGACACAAAAGCACCTATCAACAGTTCTTTTGTGTTTCGTGTTCATGCCAACCAGTCCAAAAATATTCTATTTTCTTAAATTTTACAAGCAATCGGCTTTTTAACCATGAAAAGGAAGAAAACATGTTATTATACACATTCACTGTGAGAAATGGTCGGATTTTAACCAAATATGGCATGGAGTATCCTTGGACTAAGAGGACTAAATTTTGTATGAACTCTGGGTGCTGAGGGGCGGGGCCCAATAGGGCTCTTTTTCTGTACCATTGGAGGGGTTTTATCCAAATTGGGGACTAATTTTTGTATCAGTTGAGGGTATGGTCCCTCTGGGTGCTGATGGGGAAAGGGGAATATAAGGTTTAAACCTCAAAATCCTGTTTCTTCTATAATATTGGAAGGGTTTATCCTTCTTCTTTTTTATCCTACGAGTTATTTATAACCAAATTTGTTCTGGACCATCCTTTAACGGATGGTGTTGCCACTCTTCTCCTTCAGTGTGAGCATCGTTTTGCAGGGGGACTCAATTAGTTTGTACATAGTGTCATCCCACTGGGAACAAACGGGAAGGGTCACATAGGGGGGACATAGGGTTTATACATTGGTGCCATTATGCTTAATCATAAACTTGAAAAAGAGATCTGTAAGTTTTTTTTATTAAAATTAATTCCATACCATTTATGTTCATTTTCTATGACATGAAATTAATTTAAACGTATTATGTGTGTACACGAAACGACACAAAAGCACCTATCAACAGTTCTTTTGTGTTTTGTGTTCAGGCCAACCAGTCCAAAAATATTCTATTTTCTTAAATTGTACAAGCAATCGGCTTTTTAACCATAAAAAGGAAGAAAACATGTTATTATACACATTCACTGTGCTAATTGGTCGGACAATAGATTTGGGATTCAGTACCAAATTGGTTGTTTTTTCAATAGATATGTAATGTCATACTTGTTTGAGATTTCATATGTATAATTTTCAAATTTTAGGTAAAATATCCGGAAATTTGTTAGCATCAGTTCTTCTGAAACAAGATGAAAACACTAACATATCTATGACATCGAAAGAAATTGAGGATTGTGTGGCGAATAAACAAGAAGCTGTTGATAATGCCACAACGCTAGAACGGCCAGATGACACGACGGTAATGACCAATCATATGGTCCTTGTTGTATACATATAGCATCGTAATGTAAACACTCCATGTAATTTATTTATCTTCTCTCCCTTGAGAGAAAGGTCAAGATCTGTAAAATATGCCCGTAAGAGGGTTCCGAATAAAACTGTTTGATAAAAAGAAAAGAAAAACTATATTTTTGTGACTCTCCCGAAAAAAAAGGTTTTGTCGTTTGATTAACATGTACAGTGCGGTGAAGATACAGTAAACCTCACGCTGAAACTTCCCCTTATTACCTAAGGAGATCGTGTGGCGTAATTCAATATGAACTTTCAATTTGGAATGTTGTATCATTACCAATATTGTAAGCTCCATTTAAACATGGAATCCTGGGGTTTTGGTGCTGAATCAGAGTTTCAGCATAAGAACTGTTTGGACCCATTTGATTACTTCGTTCACTCTTTAACTCAAAAACACTTACTCTCTGTATCCCCAGATATATACTATATGTGGTACCTGGATTGGACTGGGCATTGCCGGAATGATAGTTCTGGCTTTCCTGACTTCTGTTAACGCTGATGGAGACAATTCTAAGAAAAGGAAGAGAGGATCATTATGCAGCAGTTTTTTGGCTGCAGCCAAGCATTTCTGGAACTCAAGACTGCAAAAAATCTTGATCCCAGTGACTTTGTATTACGGCATTTTGAACGGATTTGTTGTTGCAGATTTTACACGGGTAAGGATTTATAATGAGATCGCATACCTTATACATCTTTGAGTCAAAATTTCCCTTTTATGTCACAGGTGGTAGTTCAACACCATAGCAAAGTGTTGAAAACATCATGACCTGTTTTATTACGTCATTGTTTTTAGCTAATATCGGGTTTGTTTTCGATTGGTGAATAGAAATAATACACTTCAATAGACGTAACTCTTGCTTAATATATCCGGTCCGTTGTCAGGTACAAATTCTAAATATATATATTACTAATACAGGAACCGATATTTATGACAGTGACTTGACAAATGACATACATTTACTACCGTTACAGATATTAAATGGATGGATACGTTGATAGGTTGGATACTTGTCCCGTTTCTGGGGTTTTATGTTTCTATCTGGGAGACTTCGGTCTACGTTCAGTTATTTTAAGTTCGTTCCAGTATTGTCGTTGGGAATTATGTTACTTTCTCTACCGATATACATTCCTTGATGTATATCGAGACATTTAAACAGGCAGTGTTGACTACGCTTGTTATTTTAGACAACCTTGTTTTGCTTTCAGTTTTTTTAAATTGGGTTATTGTTGCAATTTCTGTCATTTTTTGTATCTCTCTGATGTTCCTGTTGTATCTTCATTATTGTCATTTTATTTATTTATTTCAATTTTATCTGATTTGTTTATTTAAATTCTTTTAGAAAAACGTCAATGTATTCCTTTATGTTTTGCAGTCTATTGTGGGTTGTACAGTAGGAATACAGGCTGTTGGTGAAGTAATGCTCTGTCACGGAATATTTAACACCATCTCTGCGGCACTCATCGGACGTCTAGTAAAGAACTTTGGACACTTGCCTTTCTTTACTTTCAGTATGTACTCTTTTTAGTTCTTTACATTCAATATGTACTCATTTAAGATATACTAAACGAGTAGAATGTATATTCGTCGAAGCCTTACAGTTCATGGTATTGTATTTAGGTTTTCAATTGTTCATTTTTGTTCATTAAAATGTAAGTACACACCACGAAAAACCACCTGTGGGAATACCCACACAGGAAATGTAAACGGGCAGTATGAATGTTCCAATGAAAGGTCAACGCAACAGGTCATTTCTGTCTGACTATGATGTGTTTCTGTTTGCAGCTTTTCTGTGTTTCGGTGGAGTAGAGGTTCTTCTGCTTGTATGAAAACCCGGACCAGATTATGTTTATCTCTTCTTCATATTTGCGGGTATGCTGGGAGTGGGAGACGCTATTTTGAAGACACAGGTGATTGGTAAGTACCACACATTATAACTTTGGGCGCGACGATTTACCTACACAGCACTGCCCAACACTCTGCAAGTGTGATGTGTTGTCATCATATCATTTATAGTAGACATATAGGCTTGAAATGCTGAAATGCATCACAGTTCTTACCTTAATATATTTATTTGTTACTAAGATTTTTTGACAATTATGTATTTTCACTTGATCGCGTATAGAAAAATTCTACTAATATAATTCATATTTTCTTTCCACGGATAATTTGTCATTACTTCTACAACATTGTCGGCGATATTGTTTTTTTGCAAGGAATTCAGCTATATTTTGCCTTTTTCTGATGCACCTTACCTCTTATTTGTTTGAAAGAGTTAGCTCTTAACACCATTTTTGACACAGCATAGCATATCTCCACAGCAGGTTTACTCTAGCATGGATGAAACAATCGTCTAAAAATGAGGATCTTGCCTAACATACTCCCCATTTCGTTTTGAGTTACCTTGTAATTGTTTAGTTTTCCTTCTGGATCTGAGTATTCAATCAAAGCCCATGTCTTAAAAACCAAATCATCTGTCGTATTATCCATGTCTCTTCACTTATGAGAACATTTGCTCTGTTCCTGTGATGAAAACTGGTGTTTTGTACCGGAGATTGTTTTTTTGCCGCCTATGGAAGTTTGAGGATTCTAATGATTGCAAGTGCAGTTAGGTTAAGCCGGTTTTTGTGTAGGTTTGGTAGGCACACGTGTACATGGTCGATGTACTAATACACCAGAAACGTACAATGTATCTATTCAGTTTTAATCGTCTCTGATTATATTATATTCTTTTCATAATAAAGTTTGATAAAGTTTTAATCCATAAGCAAGGTATATTTCTCAAAATGCATATGCACATGCTCAGCTGCTAAATACCATGTTTTACCAAACAAGCGAATGTATTGATTCACGTCAAATGCAAATATGGATGTATCATTGTTTTAAGCTGTCAGGACGGTATGTTATGACCTACATTTTACAAGACATCCCTTTTAATCTTTAAAATACACCTGAAAACTATTTTTTCTCTGAAATGGTCCGGAGGGTTTCCCGGCCTTCCCCATAGATGCTTATATTCGAAACGATACAATTTCATATCATATAAGACCTCAATAAAATAATTGAATCGATTGTAAATATTCGTTTTATCGTATGTTTCAGCGATCTATGGACACTTGTTTGCAGACAATAAAGATGCAGCTTTCGGAAGCTATTTCATGCTTGAGGCAACTGGGTACATCACTGCAATGGCGTACAGTGCATTGGTATCCACTGACATCAAACTGTATATCCTTCTCATCCTACTGGTGTTCAGTGTTATATCCTACTACACCGTGGAATATATAGACAGGAAAAATAATACGCACAAGGACGCAGACAGGGAGAAAGTATAACAGACGTTTATCGTTTGCAGAACTAAAAAGGAAGTTTATCTTACGGATCATAGAGAAATATGCAATAACAAGTATGACAGTAATCACAGACATTGATGTGTTGAAAACATTCCTGAAGGTCATTGCAAATTGTATTTAATATAGCATAATAGATTTATCATATATGACAAATCCTGTATATTATACAAGTTCAAAGTAGGAAACTAAGATGGAATTACTGTAATTATGATATCGTTAATAAGTTTTATGTATTTCCAAAACTATATAGATTTTTGTTGGGGTTTTTTCGTGTTTTACATGAAACTTGATTTACTGAGAGCAGTGGTTATGTTATGGCACTTGCTGGAGTATTGATAGTACCTTAAATTGCCGTAAAGGTACGACAGAAAAACATATATCACAGGTAGTCTGTTATTAAACTGTCAGATTGTTTTAATTAGTGTCCAATGTATATATCTCAAGAAATGTCCAAAAAAATCTAAATGATTTCCTTCTATTTGAGGCAACCCAACAAAATCTTCTCTGAAAGGACGTTTTTTGAAATATAAATCTAACCCAAGTCATATCTTCGGAGCGTTTTGAACAGGTATTGACATTTGTCTGTACGAAATGCATATCAACGTTAGCTAAGTACAGTATTTCAAAGATAACAGTTGTATGTGGTAGGAGAAATTGTCTTAACGAGACAAATGGTTTGGGATGAACATAACACGAAAAATAAATTTACAGGAAAATAGTGTTTGAATTTACCATCGATGCAATATAAGAACATGATTATTCATATCACACATATTCATTTTCAATGTGCATGTACTTCTATATCGCGTAAGAGTGAGCGACATAACGCAAATTGGAGTATGGGACAATACTAGGCAAACCTGCGTGTTGTCTATTATTTTACATACTGAATTGTCTATTATTTTTTAATATATTATCTTTTTTCACAATGTAGTAATGTGACGTTGTGTTATTTGTATTTTATTCTATTATGGCCCTTTCCCGAGGGAACTGTTCCCGAGGGAAAGGGTCATAATAGATTTAGTACATCACATGACTGTACTAACTGTGACTGCAAATTGTGTCGCCTGCTTCGTTTTCATACATTGCTGAGCCTCTGCAAAGCAATCGGCATTCCCGGTCCCGAATTTCGAAGCCATTTTGGCAGACGACAACAATGAACTGAAAGTAGAATATGTACAACGCCCCCTAGGAGAAGGGGCGCAACTCTTGGCGTCACGCTACTTTTCCCGCAGTCTCAGCGGTCCAAAAAAAAGGTATAGTGCCCGTCTCCAGGTATAGTTCCCGTCGTCAAGGGCGGATGCTAACTATACCAAATAGAGCAAGGGTAGTTATCCAATAGCTATCCTAGTAATTATCATGTGATGTACTAAAACCGTGTAATTGCTTTGACTTACCGTAAATACATTTATCTAAGAGTGGAAAAAGTATTCTTCACAGAAATGTTTGTTTCACTTAGTTCAATATTTCGCTTTGTGCGTTGAATAGGTCATGTACGGTGTCTTTTCCTGCCCATATCGAATTTTATTTTGCTACTGCAGGTCACATGCTGAAATATGATCTTCTTATTCTAATATATAACTTCGGCAAATTAAAACATGTCAGGTAGAGCTTATTTCCAGGAAATATTTAATGGAATGGTTTTAAATTCTTAGTGTCGACGTCCTAATTTCTTATAAGATGTAATTTACAATTCTAAATCATTTGAGATGAAACACGACATTTGATTGGTCACTTCAAACAGCTTGCGGCCGTATACACGCGATATCCTGTCGCATTTTTTAAAATGTAAATGTAAAACTCAGGTGGCAGTTGTTTAAAACGTCAATGATTCAGAAAACGACACAAAAAAACGGTGGTATATACTGGGCGTGCCAATTGATTTTTTTCCCGGTTGTTTATTGTAAACGTCAATGTTGTCGATTTGTTTTTGTAGCTGTTAATTAGTGCGAGTACCAGTGTTTTTTGAGTGCCAATGTTGGGCAGTTTTTACCAGTAGTAAATTGGAAATATCAATGTTAAATTGTAAATATCAATGTTCGAATTCTTCATGATTTTAAATTGTAACCAGGCGCGGTTTTAGAGGGGGG